GGGTAAATCCTACCTTCTGCATATCGATGCATTCTCGCACAATGATATTTGACGGTGCCATCATTATGGCGAATTCCAGATGCAAATCTGCAGATTTCGAAGATTTAAAGGAAAATATGGAAAAAAAGCTTATTAAAATTGCAGTCGCTCTCTTGTAGCAAAACTTTATCAGAATGAAGCAGCGGAGTTAATCTGCAAACCAGATAAGCCTTACAAGCAGTAATATTCGTATGTGCCCTACCATACAAGTCAACTAAATTTCAAACTGAATGTAATATTCTGCAATCGAATCCGCACTGCATACGATATTTAGCATTTTCGCGGATCATAAAAGACCCTTGTTCTGAACATATTTTGTAACAAACGAACGCTTTGACGCATCCGGTAAGTATGTCTCGTGGATCCGGGCAAGGGGCCATCTCTATACCTGCCACGGCTCAAACGTAGGCCTTAAGGGCACACCGCGACCGCAATGCATGAAATAAATGAAATAAATAAAAAAATCTATGATAAGATAAGGTACAGGACGGGCGCCTTCATACACCGAATAAAATTTCGTTATTACGTTCTACGCACTGCGTAGAACCCAGTCCACTGGCGGAAATCTTGATCGCTAACGGATGGCTGGATGGTCGTCATACCCACCTCTCACCCGGAAGACGTGCTGTCGCGGTTTTCTAGGTCTATGGCCATTTTTAGCGGCCCACCTGTAATAAAGGCGCAGCATGGTCCGTGTAGTGTACAAGTCATATAATTATAAAAGCTGCACGAGATTTTTGTCTTCCATTTTGATACCCGCGATATAAGCGCGCTTGCAAGCGATCGGAGCATCCATATTATGAAAAACTGTCGTTTTCTCTAGTTACGTGATGCCCATTTTCCAATGATGAACGCTTTTTTTGACGGCACCGCGACATTTCGCCGCGGACAACTAGTCGCAGGACTTTTGGTCGCAGACATTTCACCGCAAGGCCATCTCGTCGCGCGACGTTTGGTCGCAGGACATTTTGTCGGAAGACTTTATGCCGCGCGACTTTCCGTCGCATGGCCGTTTCGACGCAAAGAAATTTCGCCGGAAAGACATCTCGAGGAAGCGACATTTCGCCTATCAGATAAATGATTTATTTAACTAAATAAAAGAGTCAGAAAAGGGAAATCTAAAAACAAAACCCGACGGACAACCTTAGAAACCTAAGAAAACCTAAGAAACCTAAGAAACCTAAGAAAACCTACGAAAACCTAAGAAACCTAAGAAACCTAAGAAACCTAAGAAACCTAAGATACCTAAGAAACCTAAAAACCTAAGAAACCTAAGAAAATCTAGAACGCATAACAATACCTAAAAACTCAAAGAAAGACTAAGAAAATCTGAGAATAAGCCTACAAAAAGTGAAAATCTAATGAGAATTAAGCGAGTTGAATTATTTTGCGGCGATTAGTCGCATCGTTCGAAAAGTCCCAAGACGAATTGTCCGCGACCAGAGGTCTTGCGTCGAAATGTCGCAAAGGTAAAATGTCCCAAAGCATAATGTCCTAGACCGAATTGTCCCAGTGTCCGAATGTCCGGCGGCGAAGTGTCTTCGCGGCGAAAAGTCGCGAGTCGAGTTTGAGTGCGGCAAAATGTCACACTCCCAGTTGTCCGGGTGAGGAGACTGAACAGCATATCGGCTAACGCTGGCTCATTAGTTTGACGCGCTTTTGAATGTTTTAAACATATGCTACATTTTGCAGGAAATGCTTGCACTGTGAGCTTTCAGTATGGAATGGCTTTATGTGTCAACCGTCAGTCTGTCATCATCACTACGAGTAGTGTTACTGCTTCCGTTGACCAAAAACTTTCAAAGAATATTTTCCTATAAAAATACCGTCACAAGAACGCCGCCTTTACCAGAAAACAACCGCCCCAGAACTGTCCATTGGTCCTCAAAATTTTCGGAGTAACATATTGCATTCTAGACGACGTTGAGAAAAAAATAGAACACGGCAGCAAGCGCAGTGCTGACAAAACAATATCCGACCATAAAGTACCCGGTGTTAAGCGCATTATTCCGCAAGTCATAATTTTCCTTAGATTCTGTCACTGATGCTTTGCCTAATTCAACAGTCTCGCTTGACCTTCCTTCATGCTCCTCGTCTGCTGCAGCTTCCGATGTGATTTTGCTCCCGAGCATGTACATTACTGCATCCTTCAGTACTCCCAGGTCGAGTTGCTTCACAAGAGGTAAATAACCAGCAGCATTCGCTGCTGTCACACCGTGGGCCAGCCGTTGTTCACAGTAGCTGCGCAGATAGGTGATCCCATATTTATCCGCCATTATTAACACCTTCTCAGCGTTGCAGCAGGTGACCTTTTCCAGTTCGCATCCATACACGTAATCCAACAGAATGCCGGCGCTTTCCGCATCCACATCGTTCATTTCACAGCGGGACTGCTGTTTCTCTTGGGAATCGTGGGCCAGCATGGCGGCGAAGACCGGTGAATGGGCCATCAACAGACAACGGATGACCGGAAAGTCTTGACCGTCGCTGGAACGGAGAAGGAAATCCGCGACGTTCGGGTGCCGAATTGAACGGAAGAACTCGGTTTGCCGCTCGTAGAATTTGCCTCGGTAGGATTGTGGATCAAGCGGTATGTGGCACACGCGATGCGATACAGAATCCGTCTGCATGATAATGTCAATGCTTATGGTAAGGGAATCCTCTTGAATCTTTCGAAATAATTGCTCATGACTGATCAGTTTTGATACTCCCCATAAGCGTTGCTCATTGCTGAATAGAGCAGTGCCGATATCACGTTCCAGAAGTTTCTTCGATTGCAACTTTCCCGTGGCCAAGCTACAAATTGGTAAACAGAAGAATCAGTAGTCTGAGAATATGGCTATAATCTGGAAATCAAACAAAACAAAAGCACAATACTGATTTCTTGGAAAGGTAATACTATGTACATTTACCTTATTTGATATTTCGCAACGAAAGTCTGCTCTCCTGTGTACAACCTGGAGCCCGGTTCGGTGTCTGTAAGCTTGAGATAAGCGGTCAAGAAGCATCGTTTACTACGTGTTTCGTATGACAACACTGGGTTTTGACCCTGCGGCTCGCAGACGCAGGGTCTCAATCCGATGCGCCAGCGCCCATCACCATTGGCAAAGCCCATTTCCTGCATGGTGATCCCGGCATTCTGCAGTGGCAAAGTGTTGAAACGGTACTCTGAGATACCTTCGAGAGTCCACTTGAGAGTGCATCCCACTGTCGGCAGACTGGTGGATTCCCGTACAACGATTTTACCTGGCGCAGACATCCCGAATTCAGGAAAGAAATTAAAATCTAGCAACGAAAATAATAATAATCTAATTCATCGGTCCCTTGACACCGCTTCATTAGATCTGAGCACCTTGTTGATACTATATATAGCTAAGACGTTGATCGTAGAATTGTCAAAAATAATGTGGTCAAGTAAAGGGCACCAGTTTGTGGTCAGATACAGCCTTATGCAAAGGATTCAGCACTGCATTTCAATCTTAATGGAAGGTCCTGGTCCTGATTTTATCTTGCAACAAAAAACTCACTGCATCCGTCAGCTACATATATCACTCGTATCCTGAAAGCTAAGTCTTTTCTTTCTTACCTGACGGGTCAAGCACATTAAAACAAAAGGTAAGGCAAAACAATGCCACCTTGCTGATCGTCATTTTCAGCTCTCACTCCAGTACCTGCTCACGAAACACAAAAGCTGCGGATCTTTTAATACGCTTACGGATCCTGCACGTAACTCGTCATTGTGGCATACTTACTGTTTTCATATTCTTTATACTATTCTGATAACATGTAGAATTTTGAAAATGTACAACGAGTTTGATTTTTATCGAAAAATTTTTGCATTTAGAGGATCTAAGAATCTCATTCAGAGGGGAATTTAAATGCTAGTGTTGTACGGATTGTGGTGCCAGGTAACGTTTGAATTCGTAACAAGTCTACCATCTACGGTAGCGACAGTGACATTCATGCAGACAATAATACGTGTTAGAGTGTCAAAACAAGATTGTATTTCGACGGAAAAAAGAGATTTTTCTAATACGGCGGTAGTGCACACCTCTGGGCAGTGGACACGAGTTACGTTCAAGCGGGCCATTATTATGCGGCTCCCTGTTTTTAACAAAGTACTACGATTTTCGATTCTCGACACTTTTTCAGTACTTTATCCTTAAAAAATGGTAACGAAAAGTTGTCGAATAAGTCAAATGGTGATCCTTCAAAGGCGAATTGTTTTACGAATTAAAAGTAACTCACGGACTCACAGGAAGTAAGGTAAAAATCAGCAACAGATAAAACTGACAACAGGAAATCGAAACCAGCGAATGCACAAGGAAGCAAAATTGCCAACAGTGAAACGCCACAAACAGGAACTGGGTGATTCAGTGCTAAGAGTTACATAGTTCGAACAGAAGAACCGAAATTTCAAGGTAAAATACGTATACATGAAAACTGCGTAATGCGAGCCGGAAGTATGCCATACCTCCACTTCATTGGGGTGAAACGTTTTTCAGATTTATTTCGGATTAGTTACATGCGCGCAAAAGAAAAACAGTCCCACAGCTACAACAATCGCCAGAAATCCAACCAAAAACGACACCATGTCCGGTGAGTTGCAAGGGTTCTGCATGGACGCCTGCACAACGGGCAATCCCTTGGCTTCCTCGATGTCATCCGTTTGGGTGTCCTGTGCACGGAGGTGCGTAGTCCGGTCTGTAGCCAGCAGATACTTGGCTTCCTCAATCAATTCGTTCATCTGTCGTTGTTCAGCGAACGCCACGTACTCTCCAGCATTCTCCACATTAAGGTTACCAATCAGCAACTGCTCGCAGAATGAGCGCAGATCCATCACCGCATACTTATCGGCCATAATCAGCACCTTTTCCACATTGTCCAGATTGACCTTTGTCATGACGCATCCGTAGAGATAGTCCAACAATACGGTAACCGCTTCCCCGTCAATATCATCGACTTCACACAACGCCTCCTGCTTTTCCTAGGAATCGTGCGTCAGCATGGCGGCGAAGACCGGCGAGTGCGCCATCAGCAGAAAACGGTGCACAGAGAAGTTTTGCCCGTCCCGGGAACGAATGACAAAATCTGCGGGATGCTGCTCAGGGTGCCCGTGAAGCAGATCGGTTAAACGCTGACAGAACTGCTGCCGGTAGAGCTCATGATTAAGTGGTCTGCTGCGTACGCGAAACGAATCGACTGTGGTCTCCACGCTAACGTCCAGGGTGACGGTGATACTGTCGTCCTCTAGCTTGTCAAACAGATCCCGATGACTGATGACTTTGTGCCGCCCGTGTGATGTCGCAGTATTTGAGAGACGAGTCGAGAGCCAATCAGTGGGCGAAACAATCTGCCGCATTGTCTTTCCGGTGGCCACACTGTACAGCATCAAATAAATTACTGTAAACGGACGAATAATAGATTGTAGACAAGTAAATTACTGTAAAATCGCATTAAAAAGTTCAAGAAAAATGCAAAACTGATTTAGCAGATCTGAAATGTATTTGTACAGATAGTCTGAATCTTCCAGTAGATCAAGCCAAATAAATGAATTCGTACTCCGCAAAATTTACGCCTTGCAGCGCAACGTGTTTACAGACGCTGCATTTTGAAGTTTACGGCATACCAGAGAAAACATCAAGTAACTTATATCGAAAAGATGAAAACTTAAAAAAGTGTTTGAATTATTTTAATTATTTTCTTCTTTCTTTTATAATAAGTTATATTAACACACTCGAAATGTAGACCGTTTGGACGGCTTTGGCTAATTTTTCGAAGAATGACAAAATAGTGTCTGAATTATTTTAATTATTTTCTTCTTTCTTTTATATTGTCATTCTTCGAAAAATTAGCCAAAGCCGTCCAAACGGTCTACATTTCGAGTGTGTTAACATTACAACAAAATCCAGAAGAAAAGCATGCGCGAGCTGCGAGCATGATAAAGTAACACTAATAAGCGCTGCCCTTCTTCCACGTTATTATCGTTTATTAGGTCGCTGAGAACAGTATGTTTCTATAACACAGTGGCGTCACGCACCTTATCTGACATCCCGCACGAATCGTGTGTGGCCCCGTGTAGGACCTGGACTCCAGGTCCATGTCAGTCAAGAACAGATAGGCTGCCAAACTGTAACCATCGACTCCTGGATGTTCCGGATCCACACGACAGACTTGCAGTCCAGTACGCCAGCGGCCTACCCAGTCGGTCATTCCCAGTTCAGCCATAGTAACTCCGGCGTTAAGCATCATGGCCGTATCATAACGATGCAGAAGAATGCCTTCCACAGTCCACTGGAGCGTAAATTTCACTTGCTGGTGAACTGAGTGTTCCCGCACAACGATTTTGGATTGACACGCCATAATCAAGATGAGAGATATGAATACTGCTACAGTGCTACAAGTTACAAAGTAGGATACTCGACCGTCACAGACTAACAGCCACGGTATGGAAAAATTTAAACCAGACGTTTAGCAGGAGATATTGAGAAAACCAGAGGAACGAACTGTTCACTCCACCAGCGAAACGGAACCAGAGGAATCAAGAGAACTGACGTTCTTACTTCTTATTTTGTGCACAGGGTCTTGGCGTCTTGCACTGATTGTGAGGCGAAGTCTTCATCATCACACTGTCAGCGAAAGCCGTAACTAGTTTCTGCACTTTCAGTCGCAGAAAGACGATCAAGTGCAATACGGCTAGCCACCTTGGGACGGCAGCCAATTAACATTGAACACCACCCATGGCACCCATTCAAATTAGCAAATTCGGATGTTGGAGTTGGTTATCTGTTAATTATCCAACCTTAAACATCCGCCGCTTGTTCTATTTTTGAACCATTCCAAATTTCCAACTAGTACGCAAGGAGATGAGAAAAAAAGAACATCTCTCAGTATCTGGCAGAGAGGTGTTGGCTGCGACTGGCGTATTTTGCGAGCCAAAGAAGATGACAGGATGTCGGGATTTCCCTTTTCGCGCCTCTCGTTGTCGTAAGGGTGTTCGCCGGCCGGGTGTTCGCGAGTCGACGCCTGAGGGCACAAGTGGGCGGTGGGCTGCATCCGCTTGAAATTGGCCTACAGTTTTGGTGAAAGCGTGGAGATTTGCAGAAGGGTGTCCACAGAGCCACGTCGTTAAACTTTCTATGATCTACTGTATTCGGTTGCTACTATGCTCAAGGGAACGCCTGCCCTTCCCGGCTTCACCCGCGGCCCGCCTCGTTTGCAAGAACCTTGGACGTGGTATAAGACTTTCATAAACAGTTTCACGCAAGACTTGGAAAGAGCCTTTAATGACTCGTGTCAACGAGAACACCGGCATATGACTTGTTAAGCGCTGTACAGTAAGTACTTACTTTCTCGTGGGTATAACTTTTTTTGGGTCGGCGTTACTTACTCACCGTTCCTCGCTCGTTATTTACATATTTCTCCCCTCCTCTTGCAAATAACGGCAATGCCAAACTGTGTTTATTTAGCACCTAAGCGTACGTATTTCTGCCACGTTTAATATTAATCCTGTCGGTTACACGCTAAACGACTAGAAGCAGATGCATACGAGGGCGTATGCGGTGCGCTGCGGAACTGCTTTGCACGCTGACGTCGATCATTACGGTGATGGAGTCGTCACGGATTTTGCGAAACAAATCCCCGTGGCTGATTAGCTTGTTTTGGCCCCAACAAAATTTTAAGTAATTGAATTCACCAAAGAATGTGTGTAGTTCTAGAGGAATCTCCGACAATGAGTTTCCGGTGGCCAGACTATTAAACACAAAATATTCTTCGTATTGCCGTAAAACAGAAGAAAAACGTGAATTTATTTTTGCACAAGTACAGATGGCTCGCCGGAAGCTTTATTCAATAGATAGTTTAAAAAAGGTATTTACCTTCTAAAAAACTATTTTCAAAACCTCGTATACTTGTACATGTACATAGGTAATTTGCTTGTACGCATACAATGAAACACGCGGCATTTTTGTACGCAACACCCGTACCCACCTGATACGATATTTAGCTCGGAAAGTATATTGTTGTCCCGTGAAGGACGTGGAAGCGGGTTCGGTGTCGGTGAGCTTTAAATAAGCAGCTAGGGAGCAGTGTTTCTGTCGCACCTCGTACGGCAGAGCATGGTTTTGATCCAAGGGCTCGGAAAAGCAAGGTATCAATGCAATACGCCACCGTCCATCAGCGTGGGGAAGATTCAACTCCTGCATGGTAATGCCGGCATTCTGCTCCAACCGAGTACTGTAGCGATATCCTGAGAATCCATTGAGTGTCTATTTGAGGGTAAACTCGACCGTCTTCAGGTCGCTACGTTCCTGCACAATAATTTTAGATGGCGACGACATCATTGAGGATTCATACACAAACAGAACAAGCAAATCGAGAAGCTGGAAAAATACTCGGTCAAGCTTTAAATTTCTGCGTTTTTTCGTGGTATCACTGGTTCAGAAAGACACAGCTGAGGTGATAATTGAGTTGATCGGTAAATTATACAAGAAAACAGTCAACTACTGGAATTCAAGCACAAGCATAGCTGCAGGGCCACAGTTTGTGATAAATAAACCGATTCAATGCTACGTTTTTGATCTGTAATGTAAATCTGATCTGTAAATATAATTTTTTTTGGGCAAAGGCCATCAGTGTAACAAAAGTGCATACGCGTAATACTACTTAAAATGATACAAGTTTAAACGTTAAAAAAACAACCAAAATCGTTATCGCCGTCAAAAATCCTAGGACGCATATTCAAGGTGCCCAAAACAGCGGCAGCGTTTCCTTTTACTACAGCCAGACTTAATCTCTGCTTCAAAAATGCAGTAGAACGAGGTTCCCCGGTCACGTCGCGAATCTTTCTGCCAGCGAAACGGATGAGCTCCATAAAATCCGAACCGAATGTGCCAAAAGTTTCGACTGCCAAGGCGTAAAACAGGTAACCCATCCTTTCCACGTGGGCGTATTTACGGCGTTTGCAGTCTTCGGCCATATGTGCAACACTACCGGATGCGCTCGCACTTGCCCGGACATGCGATGCAGCTACTGTGTCCCAGCATGTGGCGTCCCATACGAGCGCCTTACCATCCCGTACCGGCACCAAGGTCATGCCGTCTGGCCGCGTGTTATCTTTGCCTGACAGTCCGAGTGGCTCGCTTTGACATGGATACCCAGCATGCTCCAAAGCCCGCTTTGTTTCAGCATTTAGTTCGGTATGTCTAGACCATCTGCCTCTGCTGCTGGAACAAGAAAGGCCATGGTGGCCGTTCGTTTCTACATGGCTTCCGCAGTTCACACAATCGTGTTCTTCTACTACTGGAAGTCCAAAACGAAGTGCCACGCCGATTCGTACTTCTTCGTCCCGCAACGTACGTAGGTTTGGAGCAGGCAACGCATTTAGCCATGCGCCCGAGTCGCGATGCATCGCAGCTAGCATCACCGCTCTGTTCGTTTCGTCGGTGGTGGTCAGCCTCAGTGATAACACAACTTTATCAATCGTCGGTTTATCCCATGCAAATTGGAACTTGCGCTGCTCTGTAACTGGAGGTTCACACTTCGACTCTTCCATCCAGCGTTGTATAACCGGCTCGAGATGTTCTTCCGTTGCGGGGCGATAGATTTCTGAGACCAGGGATATTACCGAGTACGCCGATGCCAAAAAGGCAGGAAACACTAGCGACTTGGCACTCCGAAGTCCCATTCCTCCGTCCCTGATAGGAAGCGACATCTGGGTCCACTGTGCATCGTTCACGCGGATATTAAGGATGGACTGCAGGCCAACGCGGACAGCATCATCAATGCCTTCAGTTAATGCCGGGTGCTCATAGCATCTGCCTGCGCGGAAACCGTACAACAGTTTAGGTATCAACAGGCAGTTTCTTAAGAGGTACAGGCCGTAATGTGCTGGAATTATTTTCAATCGCGAAATGAAGTATTGCAGCTGCTCGGTTTTGTTCCGTAGAAAAACATCACATGCAGCTGATGTCAAAGGAGCCCCAAGCAGGACAAATTCTTCTTCCTTGGCGACAGTCATCTCCGGGAACGCGTTTAACACACGCTGGACAGCATGGAGACGATCCGCACCGAAACGTCCCACACTGTACACTTCGCATTTAGCCATTTAGCCAGATCTGTAAATTATTGTCCTGCTTCTGAGCTGATTGCATGTGCAATGTGCATCGTGCTGTTCAACAGTATCCGTATCCGTTAGACAGGTCGCGCGTATCCTGGAAGATAGTTCGTTTTGACTTTACAGGACATACATAAAGGCCAAAAGTTCAAAACGTAATAATATACAACGGCACCCGTCAATTTTAATTTGTATGCGTGCCATCTGATCGTCAAATAAGAAAACTGTTGCGATCCTTTCAGTAGTGAAACTTCGAATATTCGGGTTTTTTAATCTGCATTTGCAAGCTGAACGTTCGGTTAAGCATAATGAGACCAAAATTTATTAAGGACGAGTCAAACCGTATCGCCGTGCCCTTTACTTTGGAATGGACGATCCAGAATGTGGAAACGTACAAAACCAGCCCGCTAATGATGTTCAGCACCGGCACCACCGTACACGACCTGGGGTTGCCTGGCTACGCAGCGCGCTGGCGGATTGCCTTCACAGGCGGCTATCAATCGCTGGATCGTCCCCAGACTAAATGCTTGTCGGTATATTTGGCTCTCACCGACGAAGATGTGCAGTCTCGGGGTTATACCGGTCAAACAGAAATACAGGCGCAGTATAAAATGAGGTCAGTACTGACCTCAACGCATTTCTGGTTAGCCCTGCCAAAGTTTTTGTTATCACAATTTTTATCTTTCTGGTTTTAAAAGTTTAACTGAAAATTTTTATTGTTTTTTTTCTTCACATTTAGTCTTTTCATTTTCAATACTTTTTACTATCCAGATTTTTGCAAGTTTCAATTTGAAATGTACATCTTGATTTCCTTTTTTATTTTAATTTTCTTTCGAAATAGAATCCTCACCGGCAAAGCCACCCAAACCATAATCTCCGAAATGCCTGAAATTTCGCCGGTCAAAACGTTTACATTAACCGTTAATCTACGAGGTTTCGCAGCGTGCCTGGACCACGACCATGTGTTTGGCGCTGGTGCATCAAAACCCCTGAAGGACGACACCATAACCATCGTTGTGGAAGCTCGCATGTACACCGGTACAGGAACTGTACAGAAACCGGCACCGGCATCTTTTTTCAGTTCCAAATTGGACAACTTCGTCAAGCGTTACACCGACATGTTAAAATCCGAGCACTTTCGCAGCACCACCGATTTCACTCTGCAGTCCGTCGACGGGACTGAGTTCCGTGTACACCGCTTCCAGTTGATGGCGCATTCGCCGGTCTTCGCCGCCATGCTGACGCATGATTCGCAGGAGAAACAGAGTGGACGCTGTGAACTGGCGGATATCGACAAGGAAACCGTGGAAATTCTTGTGGACTATCTGTATGGAGGAGAAGCACCCAACGTCACCAGCAGCAATGCCGAGAAGATCCTGTCTGTGGCCGACAAGTATGAGATGCTGGATTTAAGTGCGCACTGTGTGCAGATTTTATGCGATAGTGTCAGTGTGGACAATGCCGTACATCTGCTCATTCTGGCGCGTCAGCGGAATTTAACTGCGTTAACCGAAGCGGCCCTGGCTTTCATCGGTGGCCATATGGAAACGGTCCTTCATGATGCTGCAATGGAGGAAATTGGAAAACTGGACCTACAAGCCATGCAGGCTATTATGAAGCACTGCGGAAAGGGCAAATAGGAAGCGTTGCATGTTCGTGCTGGAATTTTAGCATTTGTACCTGGTTTCAGCATTTGTACCAGATTTTGTTTAACTATGCGCCTTTTTACAGATTAAGCGGCCAACCGCTGGGTCTATAACTTGCTGCATTGTTATTGTTACTTCAGGTACAATTTTCTAATATGCAAAAGTTTGATGGGTTTCATCTGTAATTCATTTGAATATTTCCACGTTTGGATAGCCAACTTTTCTCTGATAAAATAAATCCAGATTGCTTTGTTTCCTCACAGCCGAAAAACAAGCGTCTTTTGATGCGGGGCCGGTATCATCCGTACCGCCCCGTTAAACGATCCTCCTGAAACCGTTGCAGTGAACAACTTCCCGACCTTTGCAAACACTAGTGATGATGCGCAGTCGGTGTGATGTAGCAGCTGGAAATGGGAATTCGATCGACAAAATAGAACTCTTTATAATAGCAGAGTACTGTACGCAGACCAGCACAACGCGTACCCCGCACAATGGCCGAAAATACCAAAAAGCCGGAATCAAGTTGTGTGACACGATAAAATGGTTCTGCCTTTCTATACTTCTACGGTTCAGATTTATCTGTCATGCATTCATCTTGTTCGCAGTAGCTGGAATCAGGCAGTCTGCTGGATAGAACAAATTGAATAATTTTTACCCGCTTGTCGATCGATTAAGCGGTTTATTTAATTTCGCATATTAATGGTAAATAATTGCTGTGGCATTAATAAGATAAATATTAGTGGTGTTTGACGCGAACACAAACTATGGAGCGTTTTAAGTGTTACCTTGTTTTTAGCTGATGCAAATACACGGAATCACTCTTCTCCAGCTTTAGGCGCAACATCATAATATTTGATAATGTATGTTTTATACAGTACTTGTGTCATTCAGTTTTGGGGGATCGTAGTTCTAACAAAACAGCCATTCGAAATTTCCTCGCATTTTTCCCAACATCAAAATTGTTATCCTAACAAGTTTTTTTAGCTTACATTTTTCCGAGAAAAATGTTAAACTGCAGAGTTCAAAAGAAAATAGAACACAACGGCTACCATAACGCTGCCAACAAAATATCCGACCCAGAGCAAAGCCGTGCTTAGCGCAGCTTTCGACATGCCGGATGTTTTCGTACTAATTGTCCCAACGATTGAGGCTTGGCTGAACTTCGAAGCTTTGGTCAATTTGTCGAGTGCAGCATCTGCTGCCGCTGGCGGTATGCTATCTCTTTTGATGACGAACAGCGCTGCTTTCTTCAGCACAGACAGGTCGAGCTGTTCCGCAAGAGCCAGATACTTTGCAGCATTCATTTCTGTCACACCGTTGGCCAGCCAGTGTTCACAATAGCCGCGCAAGTCGATAATGGCATACTTGACCGCCATTATCATCGCCTTCTCCGCGTTGGCGTCGTTGACCTTTGCCAGCCCGCATCCATTAACATAGTCTAGCAGAATGCCCACGCTCTCTGTATCCACATCATCCAGTTCACAGCGTGATTGCTCTTTCTCTTTGGAATCATGGGTCAGCATGGCGGCGAAGACCGGTGAATGGGCCATGAGGAGATAGCGGCTGACGGGAAACTCTTCCCCGTTGCTGGAACGGATCACAAAATCCGCCGCATGCTGAGGAAGAATGGAGCATAGATACTCAGTTTGCCGTTGGTAGAATTTGCGCTGGTAGGATTGTGGATCCAGCGGCATTTGGCGCACGCGCTGCGATCCGGAATTGGTCTGCATGCTGACGTCGATACTTATGGTAAGGGAGTCATTTTGGATCTTTCGAAACAAATCCTCATGGCTGATAAAGTTCGCAATGCCCCATACACTTTGCGCGCTGTTAAATGCAGCAAAGTAAGTGCCAGAATCCGAAGAAATCGGCAATAAAGGTCTTCCTGTTTCCAATCTACAAATTACCAAAAATACAGTATTTTTGAAATCTTCTCTAGGTAGAAGGTGTACTTACTAGAAACAAAAAGCATTCATGTGAAAGACAATCGAAACATTCGTAGGAAATTTAAAATTCTTACAGTACAGTCCTGTTCCTCTGGTATTCTATTTTATTGAAATCGTTTATAAATTATAGTTGGTTTTCGATAATACCTGAACATACGTATACAACTTCTGTAAACAAAATCAGAATTACTCTAACCTGATAACTTAATATAATGCTATATACAATAATAAATTAACCTACCGCACTCCCTAATTTGGATAAACTCATTTATTTCTACCGGGACAATAACCATAAGATGTAATCTTCAGCACATAAAAGTACAGATACCTCATATGATATTTCGCTATGAAAGTCTGTTGTCCCGTGTACGTCGTGGTGCCGGGCGCGATGTCCGTAACCGCGAGATAGACGGCCAGGAAACATCCTTTCTGCCGGGTCTCATACGACATCACAGCGTTTCGATCATGCGGGCGATCAGGGCGTCACTCCAATACACCACCGCCCGTCAGCATTGGGCATGCCCAGTTCCGGCATGGGGATGCCGACACTGAGCAGCCGTGCGGTAGTGGAACGGTATTCTGAAAGACCTTTGAGTGTCCAGCTAAGGGTGAATTCCACACCTGTCAGGTCGGTGCATTCTCGCACAATTTTTTTGGATGGCGGAGGCATCATTACGAACGCGCAGCACACTACAACAGCTGAAGTAATTAACGGACAAAACTTCAATTTAGATTACTCACGTGTCGCCGACACCACTTCACTGGCACGAAGCTACAGGGCCGATAAGTAAAGTTGATCGATGCATACAAACAAAACCAAGAACCAAGTTGATAAAAATTTTATGCAACCACTGAGCTTAGAGTTTTGACCGGTAATCGAGGTCCGGGTTTTGATCCGATTGTGGAACAGATGCTTCATTATATCCGTGCAATAGGTCACGCACATCCTGAAAGATGGATCGTATTTAACATGGAGGCCACAGCATGAAAATTTGCCAAAGCGTATTCCACACAAAAAATCTAGTCGTTTCTCAGTTTTTATACTACCTGCCCACGAACCACGAAAACTGTCAAAGCATTCTTCTATCGGATGATTGTTGGTGTTTTTACTGCGAACATTCGCCACTCACATCTTGTTTTCTCATTTGTTAGCAAGTTGTCACAGCGGTTTAAGCATCATGAGGTCAAAATTAATTAAAGACGAGTCAAACCGCACATCCGTGCCCTTCACCCTGGAATGGACGATCCAGAACGTGGCAACGTACAAAACCGACCCACGGAGAATGTTCAGTACCGGCACTACCTTACGCGCCATGGGATTGTCGGAATACGCTGCGCGCTGGCGGATTAGCTTCAAGTGCGGCTACCAATCATTGGATCGTCCCGAGGCCACTTACTTCTCGGCATTCCTGGCCCTCACTGACGAAGATGTGCAGTCGCAGGGTTATACCGGTCCAAAAGAAATCCAGGCGCAATACCGTTTAAAGTCAGTACAGATACATATCGATATCGCTTTACTAACCTAGCCATATGAAGTTACGAGTTTCTTTATATTCTATTTAATTATGTACAGAAAGTCAGTATTAGTTTTTATTTTTTTTTATATTTATTTACTTTCAAGACGGTTAAATTCAAGACGGTTCGGTGGTTAACACAGTATTTGTGTGGAAACGAGCTGTGAGCTGAAGCTCGTTGAACGTAACCGTCTGCTCTGAAGCGAATAATTAATACCAACTGCAAGTTATTAAATTATTTTTCATTTCGCGATAACTGAACAAGTTGTTTATAATTCCGCGTTACACAAAACAGTAGCCACTAGGTTATCGCAAATTTCCGGTAATCAATCTGCCGCTGTAAATGCTGATATAATCATATACTTGCCTGATCGCTTTCTAACTGAAACAGAGTGCTCACCGGAAAAGTAAACAAGGTCACCATCTACGAAATGGCAGCGAAATCGGCGATAAGGACGTTTTCATCAGCGCTCTGCCTGTGGGGCTACCCAACGCTTCTGAATCACGAAGATGTGTTCGGCAAGGGCGCGACAAAGGCATTACAAGACGACACTATCACCATCGTTGTGGATGCTGCTATGTTTACCGGCACGGAAACGGTTCAGAAACCCGCACCGGAATATCTTCTCTCATCGAAGTTGGACGAATTCGTCAAGCGCCACACCGACATGTTAAAATCCGAGCACTTTCGCAGCACCACCGATTTCACTCTGCAGTCCGTCGACGGGACTGAGTTCCGTGTACACCGCTTCCAGTTGATGACGCATTCGCCGGTCTTCGCCGCCATGCTGACGCATGATTCGCAGGAGAAACAGAGTGGACGCTGTGAACTGGCGGATATCGACAAGGAAACCGTGGAAATTCTTGTGGATTATCTTTACGGAGGAGAGGCACCAAAGTTAACCGTCAGCAATGCTGAGAAGACGCTGCATATGGCCGACCAGTATCAGATTATGGATTTGAGTGCGGCGTGTGAGCAGATTTTATGCGATGGTGTCAGTGTGGACAATGCCGTGCATCTGCTTATTCTGGCCCGTCAGCGGAATTTAACTGCGTTAACCGATGCCGCCCTGGCTTTCATCGGTGACCACATGGAAACAGTCTTGCATGATGCCGCAATGGAGGAAATTGGAAAACTGGACCTACAAGCCATACAGGCCATTATGAAGCACTGCGGAAAAGGCAAATAGCAATTTATTCTAATATTTTAAAACTGTAGCGAGTGTTCAAAGATTTGTAGCGCCCAGTAACGTCGTCATCCAGCACGTTTTTGTGTTTGATTTTTTTCATGGTATTTTACATGCTCCTGTTTTATTAGGCCCAAGCACACGTAAGCGTACATCCACCTTTTTCACTGCGAGTTAAAGCATTTTATTACGTGTTTCATCCATGGAGTAAGCGTTTCATTTGATCTGGTAATACGTATTACCGTAAGGATGTACGATCATACTATCATTATTTACCTAAACGTACTATCATTATTTACCAAAACACCACTCAGGAACTGTTGATCGATGGTTTCTTGCTTAATTAAATTTTTATCACGATGGTTTTATAGCGGACTTAACCTGTTATAATAAATTGCGACTGTCTTGTCTCGTTACAAATACCACGAATAACAAGAAAACCAGCTTCTCTGTATACGGTGCCAGTAAGTACCATCCGTGCCACCCCGTTAAAAACTCCCCATGAAACTGTTGCAGTGAATAACTTGCCGGCTTTTGCACACACAGTATAGGCATATCATACCGGGATTAAGTGTATACACTTGTCCGGAAAAAAATCGATGAATACATACTTGGTACGCTCGCTGGCTTCTTTGCCGCGGTATTCATTCTGCGCTTAAACACCATGTTGCAGTCATGTTTACCGTTTAGTCTGACGGTCACTCGGCCAGCTGCCTGCCGTTATCCCGGTTAAACTCTTCCTGACATTTTTAATCCGTTATAAATTTCTCCGCCGTCATGGTAGCCAAAGCCTCGGATATCTGGGTCTTACAAGACCCACCCATCGAATTCGCCGATTTATCCTCCGCCGCCGGCACGGAAATCGCCGACACGGGCGGCCACCGGTCACCCTCCCCGCTGCAACACGGTCATCCGCTATCTCCCAACAATTTACACGATCCCCATCATCCGTTAATTAACCACACCGCCCGTCACAGCACCACTTACATCACGATGCCCATCTCCGAACTGTTTTCCCCATTTTTCATGGTACTACGCTGGGGTGGACTGTACTTCCGCTGCAACGTCCCGGCCAACAAATCCACCGACCATCTGTCGTTTAAGAGCAGCCAACGGGGCCGGTATTTTTTAGGCAAACTCCTGGCGCACTGCGATGCCCGGACATACGAAGCGTTCTTCATCTTCCTCAGCTTTCTCAGCGTCATCATCAGCTTAATCGACGAAAGCCGGCTAATCTACGTCTTCCATTCACAGCTGACGAGCGGAACGGAGGTGCCGCGGCTAGCCGTGATTGTCGACAATCTGGAGACGATTAAATGGGCGTTCCAGTGCATTATCGTCCACATTATCCTCATGGTCATGTGCGGGCAGGGCCGGTTCCGTATCTTATTCGACGCGTGGGAGAACGTCCGTGTCCACTATCCCGATTCGCTGTCCACGGAGAAAGCGTACGATTTCAGTCGGCGCTTCCGGCGGAAACAGCGCATCTTAATCTCCAGTGGAATGGCGATTTTAGCGCTGAACTGCTATTGTCTGTTCGGACCGCTCTTTGTGCCGCTGAAAGTCTACGACCCTTTCAAAACCTACATAATGGAACCCTTTCATCCGGACAATGCGCTGATCAAGACGCTGATTGTCGTGGCGATGATACTGCGTTCGTTTGATTATGTGTTTAGTGGAACGCTTTTCTTGTTGATATCCGATGCGCTGGTTCTGCAGTTTACGCAGTTCTATAATGATCTCGCGGCGTCCATCTCGGAGGATGGAACACTACTGCAGCCACAGCGTTTAGAATGGCACCGGTTAAAACACACACGGTTGTGCGCGTTAGTCCAACGCGTCGATTCCATTTTTTCGCCGTATGTGTTAATCGGGCTGGTGTCTGGGATGTTCGGTGTCCTGGCGCAGGTGTTTGTTATTTATGATTTCCTGAAACGCGGGGATATGGGCGTAATTACGGTGCTGAGTTATGTGTACTGGAGTCTGCTGAATCTCATACAAGTGCTGGTTATATTGTGGTCGGGATCAAAGGTTAATGTGGCGGTAAGTGTGGAGAAATGAATAGTCTATTGCGATTCATCATCGCACTTACACTTTCCCAATAGCAAGTGACAGATTTGTATTCACTGTGGAATAAGCATAAGCTCTGTGCGTACACTACTGAAATTGACAAGTATGTATCGATTCTACAATAAGCTGCATAGAACACTACCACTTGGATTTTTTTTGGCTTATGAATCAGATGTCAAATTTATTTGATTTATTCTGAAAGGAAAATGTCGGTTGCGAACATATGATTATGCGCAGAGTGACAACTTTCTATCGATTCACTTATGCGCGCTCTATTTTATCTTTTTATCTTTTCCATTATAGGGTACTTTTTGTTGGCATAAAGAGGGGTTTTCAATCAATCGTCTTTATTGCCCAATAATCCAAAATTTTTTGCCGTTCTACAATTTAAATATTCAAGACGTCCGCGCTAATCGAACATGCATAAACAACGAGCCGGTAAATATTCATTTCGCCACCCAGGCCGTGCGCCGCGTGCACAAACTCCATCAAATCCTTGACGCGAAAAGTGTTTTTTCCTCTCTGCAACTATTTTCTATCATGTTGAGCTCCTGTTTAACGGATCAGCCACTATTGATCACGGTTCTCAATTACCATCGCACGCCACTCTATGTTTTCATTTTTCATACAGCGCAAACGCTTCCGCCTGAAGTGTGATGCCGGGCCGTGTGCATGCATAGATCGGTATACACGGCTAATGAACTTAAAACGCACTCCTAATCGCACTCAAGGAGAAAACGTTCTCTCTCCCGCGGTAGGCGGATATATCTGGTTACGGCGGTTGAAGAATGTGCATCTCCAGGAAAAATAATGATGCTTCAATTTCTCAGCACGCAGAACGCCGGCTATTTGCCGTAACTATTAGTGAGTGGTAGCAACAAACCAGCACCGGAAGTTGTCAGTGTTAAAGCCGGGTATGACACAGTTTATTCTGTCATTTACAACCTATTACCCGGCGCTGCGGAGAGAGGGGCCGCTACGCGGTCATAGCGAAATAAACCCCGGTAATGGCATCGTAAATTATAATTTAAGCCGGCAGATCAAATGCACTGTATCCCGTCGGATTGAAGTCAACAAACGATGGGGATTTGTCCTGTCATTTTTCCCTGGGTAGACCGGCGTCCGCTCTACAGCCGATACATATGTCATGACAGAGATAAATTCCGGCTACGTCGATAGCAAGTGCCTTGGTTATATCGCTCATCAACGGAACGCCTATTAGTGTAATAGCCGTTATTTTGCCTTGATGTCTTCGTCTATTTCACTTTGGACATGTGGACTGTTCGGTGCAGATCTAAACCAGCTAGAACATTCACGAATTGTTTTAAAAATGTCAAGCAAGCTTCATTTAAATTGAGTTCAGAGTTGTCAGCATGATAAAATTCCCATTTCTACACAAACAAGCAAACTCGTTTCTCAGTGCTTAACTGAACTCTTCCTCAAAGAGTGACATTTTACGACCAGAAAAAATGTAAAAAATTAGGTCATAGCCTATTATTCCGAATGAAAATTGCACGAGTACTTAGCTATTCCATTTAATAAAAAGATAAATTATTATACAGGTTAAAGAAGCAGATTTTTCCTTGTAACAATAGTAAGTACGCTGCTATTATTTATAGCTGCATTATTCAAATAGTCGTATACTGTATACATGTAACTAACCATAAGACAAAAGGAATATGTGCAGGCATGTATTGTTTGACCATAAAGTGGTTTATGATTTTCAAAGGTCAAGGTTAGCATTTTAATAAACTGTGCGTAGATCGAATCGTTTTTTGGCAGCGCCGGCTAAACTATACAATTTCATTACAGGCACTGTTGCCTCTTGCCAAATTATACGAGATCGACCAGCGCACACTGACGGTGGAGCAGACGCAGCATTTAACGGTCTTCCTGCAGAAATTAGCCGGATGCCAGACGGGCTACACCGCACTGGGAATATTCACTATTGACATGACCACAATTCTTTCGGTAAGAGAGGCCACACACAGACCTCACACATACACACAAGTCAAGCGGACAGATAATCGATTTAGGCTCTTAATTATTTTTCGTCCAACATCAAATCCTGTAATAAAACCGGGGCGCTGCTGGAGCGCATAGTCGCCCGATCCTGCAGTGTGCCGGCGGGCTGTAATGGAAAAGCGCGCGCGGGGTTTTGGTAATTGTTGTTTTCTTTCCCCGTAGTTGGCCGGTTTCTATTTCACCTACCAGATCCTACTCTTCCAAATGCAGAACGACTCCTCCCTCGGATCGCAGCTTCATTTGCTCAAACTGCCGGATGATATTAAAGAGGGATTACGTCAGTTTCTCAATCTGACGCGGATTGCCCGCGCATAAGCCGACAGATGCTTAATTAAATTTTCGCTATTTTATTTGTATCAAAAATTATGTGCGCTTAATTACTCTATGAATGAAGTACTGTCTCTCGGGTTTTTCCCTTTTTTTACGGTAGATTGTGATGACCGAGGAATATTTACTTTGAAAAGTCAATTGCGGTCACATTCGCAGAATGTAACTAATCGGATGAAATGCTGTGCGAGAAACGAGGAACGACGGGAGGACTGCATTCCCGACTGATTTCCTGCTGCGTTGGATTAAATAATAGCGATAAGTTTCTAAGTGCGCTCCGAGTGGAGATGACACAGAGCGCACTGATGCGCATTTCCGGGGCTCATGACAGATTGATTATCCAGCGCCCAGTCAGCCGACTGTAGGCTGTTGTACGGGCATTCGCCAGACAGTCAAAATGCGAAGTGAAATGAGAATGCCAAAACATAACAATCAATGTTGTTCTGCCATTTGTACGATTTAGTCTGGACAACCGATTAGTAGAACAGCTTTACTTAAAGAAGCGCCAAGTATATGTAATTGCATAATAATTCTGTATTACTGTTTTCACCATTGTGCTATTACTTCTATTATTTTGAAAATTTATACATAATATGCAATACTTGTTTCTTGTAAACTGTCCGTATTCAAATTGCCCAAGAAGAATGGGTTCACATACTGAACCTATAGGCAACCTATAGGCAATGTGTACGTATGTACAAGTACAAGTGCATTCACATAATTATTACTGTATTATTCAGCACGAGATGGGACTGTACACAACACACTCATGGCATTACGGCGCATTATTTCTAAACAAGATTAATAATACAACAATCCCGTAGCCTTTGGATCAGAAAAACTAGAGCGAAATAGAAAAAACAAAAAACACCATTCGATACAGCACATTTAGAAACCGTATCACATGAATTTTGTTCAGCTCCTTAGCCACTCGTAAATACCGGCACCGGTTGAACGTCGATCTTAAGATGACCTTGAAAAAAATTGCGAAGTGTGGTTACACAAAGCAAAACATTAATAATTTTGTACTACTGATTTTGTACTACTGTACAAAAAATGTAAGAAAAATTTTAAGATCAAGGCCTAAAATAGTGTCCATTAATGGACAAAGGGTCCACCATTGAAATTAATTTGTCCATCTTTGCTGACAAAGTGTACATAATTGCATAACTGGAAGAAAATGAAAGAATAGGGATATGATGATAAAAAAAGATTTTTTTGTCGGATCAAAAGAAACTGATCTGGCAGGCTGAATTTCCAAATTTTCGGAATTTATGCACCGTAGGCAGGCGTTTAATGTGCTTGGAACCTCTTTCAATAAGCGCGAGAACTAAGTAGACCCTCATTTCACAGGGAGTCGTGCTATTGTGCAGGCTGCGACAGCAACATTGCTTTACTGTTAGAGTCTGATAGCGAACAAAAGATGAACTAATCGTGTTCTTCTGCCAGATCCGGGTGTAAGACATTCAGATGTGCTGTCAAGAAAAGAGTTTAGCTCTTAACAGTTTGGCTGATCTCATTTGGTACTTGCTACTTAATAGTCATTTTCCATGGAAATCTGGTTCATTTTCTGTTCTCAACGTCCAGTCCTTCCACAAACAACAGTTCGTTGAAAATTGTCAACGAATGACGATTACTTCCCATTTTATGTGGCGCGGCTAAGAAATCCGACACGATGAGTTCATTAGCAAAAGAAGGTATCCGCGTGGTGCACCGAACCCGTCGCGATGCGATCAGTTTTACAATGGAATGGACTATTCAGGAGTTTCACATGTGCGAACGCATCGGCCAGCTGATGTCTAGTCCGGGCACGACTTCGCGGGAATTGGGGGTGGATACTTTCGAAGGAATTTGGCGCATATCCTGTCATCCACGCAACTCGCAGAATTCTGTGGATTTTGTTTATGTGTACCTTTCTCTTTCCGGTGTCAACGATCAATCCTTATTAGCCCAAGTAATGGCAAAGTGTACTATAAGGTATTGGCGAAGTGTACTATAAGGTATAAGTAATGGCGAAGTGTACTCATATGTCACTAACTGATTCTCTTAATACGTTATACGTTAATTTGTCTCATAATTATTACTCTCGAGTTTATCAAACATTAATAAATTATTTACGTGTACTCATATTTCATATAGGCCAACGCAGTCTCATTAATCTGTTTTCAGCATTCTAATAATTCTGATTTTATTACTGTACCAGAATGATGACCGGTAGCGCAATGGACGTTCAAGTTCGTGAGCCCCTTTTCTCTCCGGAATTCTTCTTAACTACCAATACGTATCAGTTTGGAAGCAGCCAATTTGTCAGTAACGCATATCTTCTTGGCAAGGGCAACCAGGCTGGGGTGATCAAAGACGACATGATCACAATCATCATGGACGTCACAATATACAAGCAGCCCACGACCGTCACCGTGGTGCCACCAGTTTTGCCAATGCGTGCGCTGTCGTCAAAGGAATTTCTCAACCGGCAGGTTGCGCTGTCGTGTTCAGGGCGGGATAACCACAGCGACTTCGTCCTCCGTTCCAGTGACGGGAAACTCTTTCCTGTTCATGGTTTCCTCTTAATGGCTCATTCGCCGGTCTTTGAGGCGATGTTGTCTCACGATTCGCGCGAGAAACAGCAGTCACAATGCGATCTGGCGGATGTGGACAGCGAAAGCGTGGAGATTCTGGTGAATTATCTTTACGGATGTCAGGCCGAACGGGTTAACATCAACAATGCGGAGAAGGTTCTGATCATGGCGGACAAGTACCAGATTCTGGATCTGCGTGCCGTTTGTGAAGCTTTGTTGTCGGAAACGCTTGATGTGGACAGCATGATGGAGCGTTACATTTTGGCAAGTCATCGAGGGCTTGATGTTCTGAAGAATGCAGCGCTGCGAGTTATTGGACGCAATATGCAGACTGTTCTCAAGGACGACGGGATGCGGGCCGCCATGCAATCGGATCCAGGTTTGCTCTCTGTTATCGTGGAATATTACGAAAAGTACTGTCGCTGAGGTGGATTTCTGCTTGGTTCTCCTGAAACTGAATTGCCTGTTCTGTGAGTTCGTACAAATGTGTGCACTTTGTATTAAGTGCAATTTATGCAATGTGCTTAACGATAATATAGATAGTAAATACTGCATCGTTGATTTCTAGTTCCTTCTTTTCTAACAATCGGAACAAATAACGTGTAAATCCTTCTAAGTATAGGCACTGCAGAAGTGTCATGCGGTATTTTTTTATGGTTTTTTTTACACGTCTACTGAAAATTCAATATGCCGAAATGTAATTAAAATCCAAAGGATGCTGAGGTACTGTGTTTTGTTACGTATTTGCTGTGTCTTCCACTGATGCGCCTGATTGATCAGAAGTCTGCACGATATAATTTATTATTTAGTTGGCGCTAGCGTGCCCGTTAACGTAATACTGATATCAGTATTCATTCAGTATGCTAATTCAACAGCAAATTCCCAACGTAAAAATTTGCGTTCTGTACTGTATTACTTAGTCTTAGGTTCTTCATTGTGTGCTTTTTTTCGCAAGCGTATTGTTTAGCAGTTATTATGTACAATGTTTTGATAATTTGGCCTCCGCTGCAGATGTCGCTGCGTTTAGTGGGTGCCTATACCGGTTAAACGTTCATGACATTGGTATACCGGTAACAGAGTACACTGTACACTGAGTGTACAGTAGTGCTTAATTAGACAACTGAAAAATTTCAGTGCTGATGAAAATAAATTAGCGTCAGTACTCAGTAGTAAAAAAAAATGCAAAACAAGCAACGAATTAGCGTCAGTTTCACCGCTTGGAAGCTGCAGACGGAACAACTATTGACATCATTATGTGAGAAGTTACACAACATTGTCACAAATTTTTCAACAAATACGCTAAAAACCCGACAAAAAATGATTTCGCTGCTTTCGTATATCTGAATCACGAGATTTCTATTTCGGCGTCAAAGCGCTTCAGATGGGACGTGTGTTGTCACGTTTTACATACCGTGCACGCGAGTTCGATGTACAGCTGGACAGCGCCAAACAACGCAAAAAGTAAAAAAAGCCTAATCAGCTAATATTCAAGAGGTTAAAGAATGCTTAGCCAACAATAATATAAAAGTGGTTAATTGACTATGCGGCAGACTGGCTACTCCAGCTCTCGTTCTTGCTCCAGTAATTAGTTATTTGATGTACGGAGTGGCAGTTTGCACTGGTCACGCGGCTCGGAATTGTGAGAACACTTGTGTTTTCCTTAATTTCTGAAATGTCTTTCAAACTATCTTCTGTTATCCTTGCGGTTTGTGGGATATCACTGACCAGTGGGGCTATATTTAATACGGACACCAAGTATACTATATGGCCCAAAGCGATACCTAATGTTCTTGCGACTTTTGTTCCTGTGTATATCGATGCTGCCAGATACGGTACTCATAAAAATAATGATGTTATAATACTGTAAATGATGTCATCATAATCTGTGGAAATTGATATACACGCACCATAAAATAATATATTATAGAAGCAAATGTTATGAAATCGTGTATTGTAAAAGAACAAAATGTTATATTATAAAATTGTGTAATAATTACTGGAAAGCCAACCTTTTGGAATAACACATCTTAAAATAATATATATCGTAAAATTATTGTAATCTACAGTATTGTGTCATAAAATCGTATATTATAAAATATGTATTCGTATACTACAAAATATGTATATATACAATTGTACAGTAGTGCATGTTCCTAGTGTTAATTATTTTAGATGCCACTACGCTAGGAAATATCCGACTGGCCATATCTCAAGTGAACAAAGACCTCAATAACTGCATTGTGTTTTATGAATATTATGCCGGTCCGGCCCCACCCCCAAATATTGGAATGGACTTCATTTATATATCTCCCGTTAATAATGCGGGGTAAGATCGCATATCTATCCAACCGTATTGACCTTGAAATAAAGTGTACCTGTAGTGTTATGCAAACTGCTGTTGTGCATGACAGCGTAATTGTACTGACAGGGTGCCTCAGACGGTTTGCGGAACGGTGCCGGGGCGTCAAACTGGACAAAACGGATTCGGTCAAAAAATGTACGTAGGCGCATATGGTTATCTTTTCTACATAGTAAAGCAAATCATGATTTAAATATTATAACATCATAACGGCTATTAATGTTAACGCATTAAATTTTAAAATCGCTAGGTATATCATTGGAAGCGGAGCGGGCAGTTGTGGTTCCCAACGGGCAGTGATGGCCAGACTGGTCAATGGTCTAGGCCTACGGACGGAATACCTGCGCCCAGACCGGGGTGGTTCGATTAATGTCGACACATCAAAGATTGACGCATCACTACAGCAGTTTAATATGTTCAACGTATATACTGGGGGGGTTCAAACCAGCAACTGGACCCCCGTAAACGGTGCTAATGTTCCCAGCACCTTCGATTTCAAGTCCATTACCATGGTCTCACCACAGACGTTTGCCCAGTCCGGACAGTCTGTTTACACCGTTCCAGGTGGACAAACAGTCGGAACGCAAAACCGGCTGAGCTTCGCGGACTGCATGGCCATTGCTTCTAAATACAGCTGTTCGGCTCAAACGGGACTGACATGCTCGGACCGTAGGTTTCTATGATACCGGATCGTTAGTTTAATTAGAAAGTTTTTATTGAAATAGGTCCTGACGGTTGTCAAAAATGCTGGCTGAAGTACTGCTGCTCGTACGGTAAAATTTTGCGAAATTTTTAGCGTACGGTACGGGCGGAGGCAGTACAGGTACTGGAACAGGCACAGGGACCGGGACCGGGACGGGTACAGGCACTGGATCCGGAACGGGTACAGGCACTGGATCCGGAACGGGTACAGGCACTGGAACGGGAACTGGAACTGGTAAGACTGACATGACATCACAGCTCTTTCATCTTATATTTGAATTTTAAACGAATTACGAATCGTATTAGGAATCCGCTCAGTTATAACAGATAAATAAAGTACAAAATAAGTTAATGCTAACTCCCTAGAGTAATGGTATAAGGTTCCAAGCGTACTTCTTGAAAAATAAATGAGGTATACGTATTTTCTGCAAAACCAAATTTTGTCAATACAGGTACAACCGGCACATGCGCCGCCCCCAGCACCAATCCGTTCAGTGGATCCACACAGTGCACGGCCAACCCATCCGATCTCGGATACCCCATCACCTTTTCCCAGGTTTCTCCTGCCGATATAACAACCATCGTGGAGGGTCACAACGCTTACCGCCGCGGAGTCGCTGCGACAAATATGAGGAAGCTAACATGGAATGCATGTCTGGCCAGCAGTGCCCAAGCATGGGCCAGTCGGTGTACTAGCATTAGCACAACTCCCCATGATTCATCTACTGACCGCAGAGCCCCAGGTAGGTCATAATTCGGTGGCTTTCGGTTAGAGCACGAACATAAACAGCAGCAGGTCATTAAATTTTTTTCCTACAACTGTATTACTTGAGTACCATAGATCGAATATTTATTAGTACTGTAGATTTTCTATTGAGAAAATAATGTCTCTGTTGGCAGGATTCTCCCAGTGCGGTCAAAACAGATTTGACGGCACCACTGGTTTCTATAACTGGAAGTCCGCTGTTGATGCTTGGTATAATGAAGTCAAGGATTTCACTTTTGGTAGCAGCGCCAATGTCTTTTCGAAAGTTGGCCATTATACCCAGGTGAGTAATCGCAATATTTCCACACCATTAAAACCGAAAATTTAAAAACAATGTCTAGATAGCAATATGGTTTCGTAGGTGATGTGGGCGGACACGTCGCTGATCGGATGCGGCAAGGCTTCCTGCAGTGGAAATGATGTCTTCGTCTGCAATTACTGCTCTCCGTAATAAATCAATTTATTAAACACTACTTGTTACCATTTACAAACAGCTATTAAATTTTCCAGAGGGAATATGGTGCCCAATCAGAACTTTCCATACAAGCAAGGAACGAGGTGCACCGGATGTTCCACGGGTTGTGCTGTCGGAGATTGTCTGTGCGCTTAATCGTTCTCAAAAAGATGATTCTGTCGGTTTTATATAGTAAAAGGCAGCGATCGTCTGCCAGGATTGTTTAGCAGTCAAACAGAAGTTTCGCCTAACTATAAGGTCATTTTCTCGATGTTTTCCTTTGATTAAATGTGGGCAAAATGTGATCAGACATTTCAGAAATGATATTGTCCATGTAACAGACGCTGCGTTGTCCAAGTTTTTCTAGCCTATTAACCCTCCAACGCTCACTACCCGAACGGGCGGGAGTTTCTTCATGAAAACTGGGATTTCCCGATAAAAAAATCCAGTTAAGAAAGGGAATTTTTTGTGTGCTTGTACTGACCATAGGTCACCGGCGGTGACATGGGTGTTCAGCAACACCATTGGGCGCAAACGGTCCTAGTCATGAAAATGATTAATTCTATAATAATTCTGCGAACAACGTGTGACCGAAACAAAAACGTTTATCGTATAGTCCATGAAGAGGGCTTCAAAACAAGGGCATTGCAATGGTCAGTGAAGTGACCACTGGTCAGCAAAAACCGAGAAATAAAATAAACGGTTTTTGCATGATGCAGTAATTAGTGAACAACTGGACACAACAAAAACAGCGATTTCTAACGATCCAGTTCTCAGAATAGCATTACGCCTTGTATAAAACATCGTGTAACAGTCTTTGTGTCATGCCGAGCTGCCTTTACACTTGCATTCATGGCGCATGCTTGCATTTTTCATGGATGCAGCCGCACCGTTTGGATCGGAAATCAGCGGTGACGGTCCAGTAGCACACGCGGTAGTGATACGCTGAAGTTCACATCAGCAGTTCTGGAAGCAAAGCCGCCATCATAGACACAGCATCGACCGAATGTTACTAATACACCTGGCGCAAAGGTCACTACCGGGCATGGGCTTATTGGAGTTGTTATCATCCACGGCTGCAGGAGACCGACGTATTCCTACACGCCTACACCGTTGTAAGATCCGGTTGGCGTAAACTGCAGTAGATTGCACGAGGCGCAAATCCGACTGTAGGATGGTCATGCCGACTAGTGGCAATGCGCTACTATAAATTACGAAACATGGCTGCCACGCTCGGTTATCTTGAAGGTTTCGTTGTCCAAAAATGACCATCGATTCGTTCGTTTGAGTGCCATAGCCGACCGCCCAGGGTGCTGCTCAACTAAATCGTTTTTGGAAGAGTTCCGGTAAGCAGAACCACGTGGAGCATGTTAGAAGTCCGAGCCAACAAGACCTTATCCGATTTACATAACTATAAAAGTGTCGAAATTGCGCCCGCCCGTACTTCAGGACCACACATGCCCAATGGTGTCTGCACGCAACACGAGTTTTCGATGGACTGTGGCCATCCACTGTTTAATTTTCAGAACCGATGCTTGTTACTACCTAATAAAGCATTACTGATAGTACATTACTGAATTATCTCAGTTTAATTAGCTCAGTGACTAATTAGTTAATTACGATGAACTCTGGGAGGTTAGAAAGTTCAAAATTAGCGACTTTTGCGAACTCGGAGTTCTTGACGGACTTAAGATTCCAGTTCGGTTTGTTTTTTTATTGCTGCTGCAATGTCTCGTAAAGCTGACTATGAAATCAGATATCGATTAATTGCTGTTGTGCATTACGAAAAAGATCTTGAAGGCCATGTTGCGCCCCCACACCAATGGGCGTCAGCGGGTTAATCGACTGATAAAACGCACTTTCTTATATATCGAACGTGTTTCCTCGTTGTTCCGTACTCTGCAGATGCTTTTTCAGTGCGAAGTGACTTAAAAATTACTGCGATGTTTGCACTCAACGTAAACTAAACCTGCTTCTCGAAAGAAACCGATAAGTACTTACAAAATACCTTAACGCTTTCATTGTCCTCTCTATGACAATTCAGCACAATGCCCGATGAAAAGAAGTCTCCTCATTCTGCACAGATTACCATAAAAGGAAAACGAACACAGCAAAAAACAGCAAAACATTATGAGGCGCAGAGCATGGTTAATGAAATTCGTAAATTAAGTACTCGAAAATGCCTTCAAATTATTGGTTTTAAGGCAACTGATTTTAGATCCCAGGTAAGGGCTTCGCATGCTCCCAATTACCTTCTGGAAAGTCCGTACGGAGCGATGCGCTTTCTCATCAAACTTAAATTCGTTCTTCAGTTTTACGATTCAGCTAAAAACGAAGAAAAGTTTTCATTATCTGTAGGCTGCCACTACATATACCGTCGTACCTATGTACTGTGCTAACTATTTGTTGTGTGTTAATTGTGTACTGTGTATTGTACTGTGTACTATGTACTATGTATGTACTGTGTTCTATGAACTGTGTTAATTATGTAATAACTGCTGAAGCATTAATTTTGTGTTTAACAAGAGAACTTTTAATAAGTATCACGGTACAAGTACACACTAAGTACCAGAACGAATTCATCACAGAAACACTTCCTTTGTTTTCTTGTTTGTAATTCCCTTCTGTGCACGTCATGTACAGATCTGTACGGACAACAATGTTGCCCGTACAGATCTGTACATGACGCCCAGAGACGCTATTTTGACATTGATGACTCGTGAGTTGACTGCATTTCGAAAAAGTTAACGGATCAAAACAGAAACAGGTGTTAGTGTCAGGCTGCTGCAACGTTAATTATCCATACTCGTACAGGACATTGTCAAAGTAAATATGCCGGTCGCACTATCGTCCAATACAAGAATATGTGAATCTTCGGTACGATTACGGCACACAATATAATTATTTATGCCAACAATGTTATTTTTTACCATTGCTTGATAACCGGTTGGGCCAGTAATATCGCTATTGTCCTAGTAAATATGCAGTCAAATAAGTTTCTGCAACCTTTCGCTTGGATGTTTCTGTCTACTGTATATCGTAACACCAAAATGTGGCATAAAAAATAAACGACTGTGTAATAATTGCTGTTGATTTCAGTGATGGAGAAATGATGACTGGTGTGAATTATGACGAAAACAAGCTGTTGGAAAGTCATTGTGTACACGAACAGCACTCGTATTATAAAGCAATTAAATGTCTGGCGGAATCGGTTACGGTATAATCATGCCTTAGTCGGACCAGGACCCAACACATTGTCACCTATTCACTGCATGTCAAGAGCGCGTCTTTCCCATACGCTGCAACTGTCTGCCATCCGTGAACGCCGGCAGTGTTTTTTGGGGATGCACGTAAGTACTGAAACTATTCGCCGCAACAACAATCTCCATAAATATTTTATTTACATCGGCGCCGTAACAACAAGCTTCGTAAACATTTTATTAGCATCCGATTATTTCAAGTCCGTATCAGACGATAATTGCATATCAACATCAGAAGTTGCAAGGTGTAAAATGGCCTTGCACTCGTTAATAATTCTAGTCGTTGTGTGTATTGGCTACTGTTTGGGATATTACGAAAATTATCGCACATTTGGTAAGCCGGATTTGCTGTATACAAAATTGGTCAAATTTTATTAAGTACTGTAGCAAACAAAATTCGCCGGTAGGTTCGGGCGACTCTATACTGACGATCCAGTACACAGCCGGAGGACACATGGATGAATACCATCGATGGACATCGGAATGTCACGACGGCGAAGCTATGACCGGTTTGCTTTTGCCGCCGTTTTATAACTGAAATATGGTAACAATAAGTGCTCCCAATATTTAGGAATTTACGATTCGGGCCGAATGTTTGGCAATAAACCGTATGTACTAATGTTCCCTTTCCGCTATTTCTTGGTCAGCTATCAGCTAAATGCAGCTGTTTTACTGAAATCGATGACTCCTTTTCAGAAGTGTGGTGCTACTTCATGTTCAGCAAGAAACCACCGTCCAATGGATTTTATCCATATTATTCCATGTGCAACGTTCGGTAAACAGTATACATGCTCCGGTATCCTTCCTTTTTTTAACGAGATGTTTATGGAAACCGCCATAGGAATCTCTCCCAACAGGAGTACTACTGCTACGATAAATACTGGCCGCAAGATACATCCAATACATTTGTCACCGGTCAGTCACGTTACTAATTGTGAAGGCCTTAACAGTAATCACCACTGCTAACAAGTCAGAGTAAACTGCGCTTGTTTTCAGGATTGTGGGGCCTAGCTGCTGGTGGTGCACTGGCGAACGTACCGACCCGAATGAAATGCTGTTAGTTAATAAACTACTCTTGGGCTTAACTCTGTTCGAGGTTGACCCAGGATTACACCGATAATTAATACTGTATCATAGACACATGTTTCACTGACAGGTAAAGCACCGAGCGGATACAAACTCGATTACACCCGCTGCCAATGGAAGTACACACACGACAAGTAAGACACTACCTACATTCTGGTATTACAATTGTACACAGTAATTTAAAGCTAGCTATACTTTTATAAGAACTGGAAACGCAATAAAGAAGCGCCTTTGTAGTCTGTGCGGACAACTGTGTGATTAAATTTGGCTGTAATGCGCTACCTAATTCATTACCACGCACAGACGGCGCCGCACAATGCATATGAAGAATTTTTATTTAGAGCCGGAGAACATTACGACGGTGCGTGGCTGGTCAAGTGCGACACAAATTATATTATGACCGGTACGTCATAACATTGCCTGTTTTACTACAACAATTTCTTCACGAGCATTCTTAATTTGACATCTGCGCAGGATTGGGTTCAGCGGTAAATCCTTGGGATGGAGCTGTTCACTTCACTTGGATACAAGTGAGTCTTTTTTACCTATTACAACCCATTTATCTTCGTGCAATTAGATAAGGTGCTGATATGTTGTATCTGTACATTCTGCAGTGTTGTCCAGTGATTTCCACCGATGACTATCATGACGAAAAGCAACAGATTATTTATCGACGGTGATGCAGCCTTTCAAAGTCATGGTTCTTTGCATATACTATATGCGAATTTGTCAAAGGTCAAATTCAGGTAATGCTTTTGCTACCCGAATTCTGCCTCTGACAAATTTGTACCTGTACCGAGTACCGATCAATAACTCCAGGAAAGATGCATTTAAATGACTTTCTTATTGTATTTATATATACTCGTAGAAATGAAGCATTTTTCATGCGTCACTAAACATGTATGCGGCATGCCATATGTTAAAGCAAAACCGTTTTTTCTGTGACTTTCTGTGTTTCTGTGTTCTGGAAATTTGCGTTGTTGTTTTCCGATGGAGTTCCCTGTACTTGTTGCCAAAACGTCAACAATGACAACTGAGAGTTGATTACGTAAATGAACAATAATATGATGACACATGGGCACTAACGTAAACTGAACTTGATCGACTCCATTATGAAAGTGCCCGTTGTAGCGCTATTTTTTTCAAAGGCTTGGTTGAGACGAAATCGTCTGAAGGAAAATCAGCATGTTTTATAGTACAGAAAAGTGCAAAACGATTGTCTGCATAAACATGATGGCGGACATTTTTTAGATGACGGACCGCGACTGCGAAAACAGATTCAGTGTCTGATTATCATCCATGTCAAAATCATATAACCCGATTTATTTCGTTACATTGAAGTGACAGAAAGAAACCGTCCAACATCTAAAGATACGCTTAGACTATAATAATTACCGTATTCGATAATTAAATCAAAAAAACAGCGTTCGCGAGCGTTTCGGCGAAGTTACCTGCAATGTTAACAGCGAACTGCATGCGTTTCACAACAATGCTATAATTATTATAGGACTTATATCATAATATAGAGCATGATTACAGGAAACACGGCGGTGAAAGTCAAAGCCATTTTATGAATAGTGTAATGGTAATAATTATGGTATCATGCATATTTTTCCGCTAGCGACGGGGGCACTGGTAAATCTCGGCAACGTTTTTGTACAGTCCGGTGTAGACCGTATGAGCATCGGCGCCGCAAGTAGCGTTGACTTTATCCAAAGGAAACATCTCTTCTATACGGCTGAACAGTCTGCAAAGGATAACACAATGTTTATCCAAAATAAATGCATGGAATTATTGCATATACATACATACAGTATTATAATAAATCATTTAAGTTTAAGCTCAAGAGAAACCTGCTCGAAAGCGAATGGCGTTTGCTTACTTTCAGCATCGAAAACTGTCGTTCTATGCCCAAGATTACGGGAGAAGGTATTGTTTAGAAATCGCATTAAAAAGAGCAGGCAAATTTAAGACGGGCAGTTCAATCGAACAGCATACCGGCAAAAAAGTGTTTTAAAAATGTGAGGAGGCAACTCCATAGGACTTGCAATCTTGACGTCGGGACCCATAGCAGAAATGGTCATGTTACCGACTTCTCCTAGGATCTGCAGCAGCTGACGATCGTCACCGATGGTGTTGTACACGTCCAGTTTCTTATTGCAACGCACAATCTCGGGAAAGTGCTTATACCGACCGGGAGCAGCGCACATCCTCAGCATATATTCGTTCATATGGAGAGACCAGGCCATGAAAGGAGATGTGGTACAACCACTGGAGATCGAACCAAGGCATGTACTCGTAGTGCTCACTATACTGTAAACAGAAAGGTCAAATTAGATGGTCGGTCAACGCAGACTATCTCCGTCGGTGCACGCTGTAAACTTTTTCCAAACCATTCGTACGCAATTATGTATTTAATACTCGATCCTATGCAATTCATTATCGTTCTTTTGGATGGGACACATACCTAATGTACGTCATTTCGTCTGATACTATATTATCACTGTCGATGTTTAAGCGAGAGGACTAAGTTTTTCTAGTTTAATCCCGGAAAGAAATAATTTTTCAATGAAATTTGCAAGGTTCCGGGTTCCTAAGGTACGTTAATTCACAAAACAGAAGGGCTTTGTAATTAATTTCAGGATAGGAATGGATATTTCACCTAAACTACTGTAATTAGTACTATTATAGAACTATTCAAGCTTTAACCTGGTCTGGTACTGAAAATTGTTGTATTGTACTGATATGGTGTATCCGTATAGTTCCATACGGTCATACCCACAAAAATAATCCAAGATGGTCTTTGCCTGTTCATCAGTAATGTTACCGTCCCAGAAGATATTTCCGTAGCGTCGGAATACTGGTTCCTGATGCAGGCTCTGATTTTGTATATTCATGGAACAATGGAACAGTATCGACTGATCCTCTATTGTGCAGTTCGGCCCAAACATTTGGGATAGTCTTGACATCAGATCCGGCATCGCCAGTTGAGCATACACAGCCCCGCTAAGCAAAGTAACCGCACAGAGAATTCGCAACATTTTTGACAAGTTATGGGACACGTGTCAGTCCGGAGCGGTAAGTACAACCTATTTCCAAAGCTGAGAGAAGCAAGAGTGTTTTATGGCTTTTATAACAAGCGTTACTGCCAGCGTGGTTTATAAATTTGTAGCCACGTCGTTGTGGCATTTATACCACATGGGCCGCTCGTGATAGGGAAAAGGTGAACCATAGTACTCATACCAATAAGACGAACAGAACTTCCTTCGTACTATGATTACACACAGATAACCAGCGAACACAAAAACTTAGGCCCACCAAATACAGACACAAACTTTTCACTACCACCGTGGCAAAGAAAGCTAGCTGCAAAAGTAAAGCAGATTTTATCTCTTCAAAAATTCTTTGCAGGTTTTCCAGATACCGCCTTGATTAGCAAATCTAAAGACGATGAAAGTACGATATCACACAGCAAAATCTTCCGGCGTTACTGCGAGAATTTCTTCTACTCACAAGCATAATTCTTTTAGGAAATTTTTAAGAATTTAGTAGACCCAAAACTGAGTTTTTTTTAACACGAATTATATCATCGTCATTCATCATCATCATTACAGGTGTCATCTTGGGAAAATTAAAACTGAAGAAAAGCTGCAGGTTCATTATTCATAAGAATGTGGACCGGAAGTTAGAAATCAGTACACGAGAAGCTTCACAAACATCTTCGAGTAAAAAACATCGAAATTTATTTACTCGTCCGAAGGGAAGCAAAGCGAAGGCCATCTACCGGGTGGCTGAAGAAAACTGCATTCTCTTTTAGTTTCTTACTCGCACGCCACTCATCGTACAGTAAGCAGCTTAACATCGTTCGATAGACAATTTCATTAGCGACCATAATTAATAAATTGGTTTTTAGAAAATTAAGTCCTGCTCGTGTACAGAGGTGACAAGTGAAATCATGTCAAAATGTAATCTGGCCCAGTTTGCGAAACACATAATTGAGTGGCATTTCTTTCCCGTTCGAACTATTCAAATTTTTTAACAGTTTTGTCTAGAGAAAGACTTCATGTTTCAATACAAAAAAGGGTTTTGCCATGGCGCATGTGCTCGGGGAGTCATACAGTCAGTCCTTTGTGACTTTCCTAAAAAAATGTCGGTTTTTATCTGGTATTTTTGGGTATTTTCGTTAGAAATTTTTGCTGCACAGCAGGCTGCAGCAAAAATGATCTGTTTTGCTGATAAATGTGGTCAAAACATTGCCCAGACTGAAGGGTTGGTGAGAAAACTTCTTTCAAAAGGTGTGCTTACCGGTTTCACGTGAACCAAATGTGCGGACTCTCAGTTCTCGCGCTTCCTGTCAAAACACGACCACTAAAATATTGCTGGTCTTTATAGTAAAAGAACCAGAAACAGCTCCTCTATCCGAAACAGCAACGTGACGTACAGAGTACAGTGATTTATTTAGTTAAATAACAGTAGTTTTTACTTTTTTGTTAAAAATTGATAATTTCGGGTTTTTGCTGCCGAGCAATCTTCTAATTCCACCCTATTTTAAAAAAAACAATTTATAAAACCGTCAAACTTTTCTTGAGCGTTAACGTAACTTCACCTTTTATGTATGCTACAAACATTGCTCTTTCCAATGAGAATGATTTCTATAGAAATCTGTTTATAACGACGCGTGACCGCTTCCCAGAGACATCGATAACGACCACCCAATCTGCATCTGACCGGGGAAAGACAAAAGACAGTCACTGTAATAATTGCATGCTAGCTGCTAATGACTTGTCGTGGACGAGTGCGGTGTCCTTGTATGTGGAAGAGTAAGAATGTGCGGTTAGTATATAAGCATTTGCAGAGCAGAATGTACAGTTAGTTCACTTTCTTTTTCCCCCGCCCGCCGCTTCCCTTGTTTCGGTGGAGGGGGCTCACTGCGTTGAGCTGCTTGTTCGTCCGCCTCTCCTCGTGCGGTTTGTTCGTGTTTCTCCTGCTGTTTGTTGTGGCGACCGTGTGTTTAGCCAGAATGTTGTCTTCGGTGTTCGCTACGCCCATAAGAAGTAAAGGTTCTGTGCCGATCACTCGTTCCGATATTTTTGTTTACACACCATTCACACGCAGAGACATTATGAAATTAAATAACATAACGTCAATCCCACGTTGGGGGGACCCATCGTACCATGGTGAAGCAGAGAGGCCATTTTGTTCAGCCACCCGGTATGTTTAAAAAACGGACATGGCTATTCTCACCATCCTGACACCACCTTTGGCTTTTGTCACCACCTTTCACCCCGTTTTGGCTATTCGCACAACCTTTGTAAAATGTTTTGTTTACACTACAGTGACCACACCACCTTTGGCTATTCTCGTCCCCTTTATACGGCTCTATTTCCTTAGTGCTTTTTTCTATTTTCGGGTGTACTTCTATACTTTAAGTTGCTGCAAAATGTTTTTTGATTTACGTTGACGTTTTGTTTGCAACTCAATTGTAATAATTAGGATAAAACATTGAGCGTTGATGAACTTTAGATACCGGTATTATGGCACCCAGTTTTATGCGCCGTACAGTTGCAATCCAGAAATTTTCGAACACAACTGGGCATTCGACAGTTACTACTCTTTAGCATGAAACGTATTGCAGTGTTGCCAAAAAAAACTGCTGACCTGCTCCTAGAAGAACCGCTATCAAAAACTGTGATCAATAACCTTCCGACATACGGAGCGCAAAAAAAAATTTTATCAGAGCATGCCTTTACGATTTACGAAACTTTTTTTTAAAATTATGTAATAAAGAAAAAGTGCAATGAAGAGGTGAGAATAGTCAAAAGGTGGTGTTAGAATTCATTTTAAACAGGTAGTGGGGATATTCTAAAGGCGGTGTAAGGCGGGGAGAATAGCCAAAGGTGGTGCAAGGCGGCGGGAATAGCTACACCCTTAAAAATTTTTGGCTTTAGCCTATTTCCTAAACGATATTACGAAGTTGCGGTATTAGAGTTAGTGGTGACTGGTCGGTCAGCTATCATTTCGGCGGCGAAAGTATTAGGTTTGTGAGTTGTACGAGTACACATAATTGTAGGAGATTCAAACACCGTTCAAAATTTTCCTAGTTGTCAAAGCCATGTTACCAAATCGATGAAAGATAGTAGGCACGCACCTACGTGTACATCCCCTGCACTTATGCGTTGCTGCTCATTGATATGCAGTTTTGCTCAGCAAAGTAAAGTAACGAATGACGGCGTACAGCATACAAATTCCCTGGAGTATTTTTGATCAACGGTACAGCAACGGTACAGCAAACTCACACTACAGGTGAACTGGGGCATCAATCAGCAGAATTTGCTGGCAGGGTGAGATAGTGCATTCAACGGCAGGAAAAAAGGAATAATTTGACCTGGCACATTGTTCTTCATGCAGTAGACCGTAATATGCAGCTTACTGCAATAATCTGCCAACACTTTGCCAACGTGTATTCTACTTTTGGCACATCGTAGTTAGAGATACAAGAAGTACGAATTAACGCCATGGATAGTAGCACAGTCACTAAAACCAACTGGTACCAAAAATATTCCAACTCCGTGGCCTTTCTACTACGTGCCTATGGAATATTGACTTGGTTTCCCACTGAATCCGGGATAAAACGGTCGTTATCGTCGGTGGCAATGAAGTCCAGCTTAACTATTATGTTCGTCGTAAGTTTAACCGGTAATCTGTTGACCTACATTGACGCTCTCCTCAACAGCGGACAGGCAAAAATGCCTCTGACCTTGATAGGAACTGTCTATATGGTCTTCACTCTGTCCGTATTGCTAAGCCTGCATTTATTCGGTCGCAACAGTAAGACGCTCATGTCCTGTACGGAACAGATCGCCCATTGCGTTCAGTCCACGCATTTGTCAAGCGCAGCGCCGAAGGAATACCTTATCGTTTACGGCATCATGTATGTTTGTTTGATACTGGCGTTCATCCCTCTGGAGTGTGCGCGGATGCTTAGTATCTGGCACAACACGGTAACGATCTTCGGCTACGAGTTCTGGCCGGTTTATCCCGGTTTATTTGACTTCGTAGCGCTAGGATGTGTGACCTCCGTGAGATTGGTGCTAACCCTATGTTTCACGTTCAACGCTCTGACTATCGGCGCACTTTTTGGTGGCTGCAAGCAAAAATGCGAAGCAGTATTCCGGAATTATAAACCCAACCATATCGATAAAAAGATATTCGCTTCAGGGGTCACAAAATGTCGAGCCGAGCACTTAACCGTGACACATCTTGTCGAGGAGCTGGATACAGTGTTCGCGCCAGTTAATCTTGTGATGTTAGTACCAGACGTGATTGTTTTGGTACTTTTGATTAGCGTGGCAATGGGCGCGGCACCACAGAAGCTGGGATACGTTTTTGTCAACAATACTTCACATTTATTCCGTTTATCCTTATCGGCACTAGTCAACCTATGCTTACTGGCGCAAACATTAATTACCGCAGCATATATGAATCGGCAGGTAATATCGAACTACAAACAACAAAAGTTCAATCCTAAAAATTAATATGCACTCGTTTGCAGGCGCATTCTATAGAATCGGTATTGCACAGTATGTCGGAAAGGATCGAGCCTGCTAACAACGGCTTGGATCAGCAGATTTCAAAGACACTACGCCGCCTCCATTATCAGCCGGTGGAATTCACTGCAGGGAGCATCATAAGATTTAATTCTGATCTGGTTCTGACGGTATTTCAATATCGCTACTAAACTCGGCCTTTGGTGTATTAAAACGAATCTTCTGTTTGCAGATTGGTGGCATTCTAGTTACGTATCTCGTCGTCGTCTATGAAATGAACCATGACGACACTGCGCGTCCAGCACAGCTTGTAACGGCCAATTGTACTAACTGACGCTTTAAATCAGTATAACGGTTTCCGGCGTCTACCGCTCCAGCATTCTGACTTCGTCATTCGTAATAACTGCAGACAACCCATTTACGACGTTTTAGCTAGGGTTGGGACTTATACCGTTAACCGTTGCTTACGAAAAGGTGACTACAAGCTTTATTAAAATGTACCGGTATCGTTTCCTAATAAACAAAAACCAGCGGTAAATGATTACTATCATATTTAATGTACCTTACAAGTACAGGCTGCACAGATCCCTATTAATAGTCTTGTACTTACATAATATATAGCT